CATCTAAGCTTTGCAACCTAATATGTCTCAATGACGCTCGAGTAAATCCCCATTTTGCATCGTGGGCTCCCCTGCTATGAATGATGGTACAGAGTCTAAATACAAAGAATCCAACTCATCTTTGATTCACGTAGGCGTATTGCCTTCCAAAAACAAATATTTATTGACAGCTCGATACTCGATTTTGTCCATTTTCATTAAAACACTTACATCAACTCACTCAAACGACTGTTACATAACAACTCCGCGTCCAAAATGGCTGAAACTTTGGTGGGTAGGTTCGGATAGGTTAGGTCAAAAGTGAGTGGGTGTATTCGAGCCTCCACCGCAACCCGCAAGGGTTTATTGTGGCTTAGCCCTATTCAAACTCGATCAAGTAAACCCAGCTTCTCAACGAAGCCGATCAGTGAGAGTATGATTCTGCCAAACTCTGAAAAACTGATTCGGTCTGCAGCGGGGCAGGCACAAAGCATATGGTCTGCTGTACCATCATTTTCCGACAGTCTGAGTCGCTACAAATAATGATTCAAATGACAGTGACCTATAAGAAGGCCTATTAGACATGATAGATTCTCACCGATGAAGCTGCTTGCAGCACCCTCCTTTGCAAAGGACCAGAGTCAATTTGTTGAGCCTTTCTATTGAGATGAGTCGTTTTTGTCAATTTGCTACTAATTTAGACGTTTCTCGGTAGGAGCTAATAGCTTTCAACGCTGCTTGACTGTCTGACTTGTGTGTGAGGTTGGATTCTACCAATCTCTCGGCACACACTTCAATAGCATAGATTTTCGCTTGAAATACAATTGCATAGGTTCCTAAGCAGGTTGATATCTCTGTCTTGGGTCTGCAACTGAAAACACCTGCGTCAGAACCGGAAGGTGTTTTTGATCCATCTGTGAACCGACAACTATCTGCTCTTAATATTTCCTTCTCTCGGAGGATCCAGTCCTCTCTACTCGTGAAATTCGTCGATAAAGTTTAATGCGTGCAGCTGTGTGATACCTATATTTCCCTCTTCGAGTTTCTATTCCTTTATTCTCTATTTACTTTTTCTCTATCTATTACTCTCTCACTCCGTACCCACTCTGAACTCTGTTGCCATGACGCCATCACAACTGAACACAGAGACTCGTTCGTGATGAAGATGATGATTAATTGATCAATTAATTGATGGATGTAGCCGTTACTATGTGGTAGGAAGTCATAATGAAAAAAAAAGAAATTAAACTGTCTATGTTTTTTACCACTTTTATTTGTAACTAACGTTAGGTACCGCAGTTTCGCCCTATAAGGACATTTTCAAACTTATACAATATAAGTCAGGAACATGCGTAATCTTTTAACCAGAAAACAGTCAACTCTTTATTCCCCTCATATAGACTCCCAACTCAGATATGGCATTTTATTGTGGGGTTTGTCAATTTTGTCAATTAGGTGTGCTGAGGTGTTTATAGCACAAAAAAAGATTGTTCGCTGCATGGCAGGAGTGTCTAGCTCTCATTCTTGTAGACAGTTGCTTCCAAACTTAGGTACATTGATAACACCATGTGTTTATATACAGGGTCCTGCAACAGTGGCGCGGTGTTCCATATCTCTATATAGGAAGCAGATAGGAATCTAATTTTCTATAATATTACCTTATTGCATTTTCGTACCAACTTTTTATTTACAAATCTACCTCTCAATTGTCTTTCATGAAGGGTTAAACAGGAAAATTGACACAAACATACTATAAAATTAAATGAACGAGATTAACAATAAACAAACGTTTTATATTGAACTTCCGCAGGAACAGTGGTGGAATTGTGGATTTTGTAATGTTTTGATTGACAGCTTTAGCCACCGACCTGAAGGATCTAGACCCGTTGAAATTGGCAAGCAGTTTTTCTAATTCTCCAATTGTGAAGTTCTTTGCTTTCATTAATCCTAAGTTTGCAGCTGTTGCGACCATTAACAAAGCTGGTTCGATTTTCGACACTGGGATTTTTACGCCACAACAGATTCAATGAATGATTATTGAAATATTGATTTTTTTTCAATTTGACTTCTAATAGACATTGTAAATGTTAGTATGAGTTGGTCTTCAAAAATTACAAGGAAAACTTAGAATTTTTGCCACCCTTGGTTGCCATTGAACAATCATTTCAGTGCAGGTATCTCCGAACCTATCCAATGTCACCACGTCGTCTTGCGAATCCGTGGCTATCGAGACTGCAATCAAATCCATGATGATCACTTTCCGAAACGCCCAACGAGGTGGCGAAAAAATATCAATGGAAGAACTTAAATCTTGTCTGCGAAATGAACCACCAGGTGATATGTACTTTTATTCAGTTAGATTTGAGAGTTTATTGTAGATTACCGGGGAATTTGTCATCTTGACCAAGTAACACACAAGTAGAAAAAATTATGACATTATATACTCAGAATATGCCAGCCGTATCTATAGATTAGGGTCGATAATTTTTGTAAAAAAAAACAGTAGGATGAAACCCATTAGAA